CCTTGGTTTTGTCTTCCAGTTATTGACTGGCTTGAGTGTGATGGAAATTAGATGTTTGCAAAATGTTTTAAGTTGTCCAACCAACCCTTTTGAGTTTTTGTAGGCTGTACAATAAACATGGTCAGGACATATACGTTTATTTGAAATTATTTTTCAAAAGTAGAGAATAGAGATGTAATTAAAAATGATCTGCATGTACAAATCACAGCTCCATTTCTTTCTATGTGTATGTCTTTGGAAGCAAAGGTCAATGCCAGGGACACCTCATGAATATGCTCCTAAGAGAGAAATGAGCAATAATGACACCAAAGGAAGCCTCTGAGGAGTCTCCAATATTTTTATCAATATTAATTTATACAAAACTAATTTCAAACCACTGTTTGTTCAACATGGTATTGGCACCCTAAGACAAACAAATAAACACTCCTTCCCATGCACAAGAAAAAACATACAATTTGCTGATCTACGTAGGGACTAAAAGTATTGATCAGAGCTGACATACAGCCTGGAGACCAAAATCTACCCAGGATGCTCAGGGAAGCTTACCAGAGGAAACAAGCTCCATGCTGAGTTCACAGAGGCTGAACCTCATGAACTGAAAGGGGCAAAGAAGTTGAAAGCAGCTGGAGGACAGATTGAAGGGAAGGTAGACAGTCTTGAGAGATGATGCTGGAACTGTAGCAGGGAGCAGGTAATGAAAAGCCCAGGAGACATTGAAAATGGTGGACCTTCCTCTGGAGGTACTGGAGTTTCAAGCAAGACCAGACCTTTATTTTCAAAGTTCAAGCATTGGAACACAGCAAAGTGGTATGCTCAGAAGCTATCATGGTTATACATGTTAGAAGCCTGGACTAGTGGGCCAAGTTGTAAAGGAGAGAAGCAGAAATACTCAGGAAGGATGTTTTTCTTTTGTTTTGTTTGATTTGTGGGTTTTTTTTTCTTTTTTGAAAATAAAATGGACCTATTAGATAATTAATGTAATGAGTTAGGTAAGAAGATGAGTTGGTTTTGGGTGACTCCATGTTTCTGGTTTAGATAAACATTTGCCTCAGCGGGATTCTAAACACCCAAGGAGGGATGACAGGTCTAAGGCTAAGATCATAAATTCTCTGTTGGCAAGATGAGTTTGAAATGACTATTAAGTCTACTAGTGGAAATACTCAAGGTATTGCTGTTCAGTGGAAATTCAAGAAACCCACAAAAGCAATAATGAAGAAGTCAGAGGTAGTAACCACACTCCGAAAGTAAAAAGAAGGAAAAAAATAAGAAAGTAAAAAGAAGCAGATAAATTACTTTTAGTAACATATTAACTTAATATATCCAAAATATCATCAGTGTAACCAACATGAGCAAATTATTAAACTATTTTATATTGTTTTTGTTTCATACTAAGCCTCAAGAATTTGTGTTTAATTTCCCCTTATGGCACACATCAGTTCAGACTAGTCACATGTCAAGTGCTCAGCAGTCATACATTTCTAGTGGCTATAATACTGGACGGTGCAGAGTCTCAAGGCAGCAGAAAAATGGCTCCAGAGTGTACACTCATTGGACTGGAGGAAACAATTGGTAATCATCAGTGAATCTTAACTGACGTGAAAGTAACCAAGACTGCCTGGGATGGGTACATGGCTGAGAGAAAATGAAAGTTCACAGAACCCTAAAGTAAACCAGCATTTAAAGAACAGAGACTGGAATTTACAAAAGACATTTAAAAATAGCACATAAAAATCTATCAAGAATGTTATCCTCATTCTGTGCAAAATTATTTCTATGCAGAGCAAATCATTTATCTAAATTTTTGGACAGATTAATTCAAGAACTATGTAAAGCATGTCATCCTGGGGGCTCTGGAAAAAAATGTTCAATGACATCCTTTTGTAAAATAAGGCCCCAACCCTTGCCTCTTTAGGAAGAATGAAGTTCACAGAGGGAGGTTGTTAGGAACAGAAGCTAGAGAAGGAACATGACTCAGAATATTGAAAACAGAAAGCATGTTCTTAGAACAGGTACAAGAGAGACCAACATACGCAGCAACCATGCAGATCAAGCATGTTGTCATTTTAACAAGACATAAACTTGATTTCCACCTTGTACAGGGGAGCAGTTTATTATTCAACCAAACATTAAATATATTATGACCGACTTCAAATATTTATATGCAACCAGCTGCTAGCATTGAACCTATAAAATGGAAAGTATCACAATGGTGGGCACTCATCAGATTAAAATGAGGCAGTGAGGGACAGGAACAGAAGGTCACTGAAGTCAAACAAAGAAGTTACAGTTATAGTAAAAACAGACCAGAGAGGGGACGGAAGAAATCACACTCCAAGCACTTGGGGGAAGGAGCACCTTGTTGATGCCGCTATATAAAGCCTCACTCTTGCCCTCTGGGGACCTCTTGCTGAGGGAGGGGGTGAACAGTTAAAAGTGAAGACAGCAGGGCGCTTGTGCCATATCAGATCTCCATCAACATGCAACCCCAAAAGATCATGACTGTGAGAGCTTTGTAAATCAACTCTTAGGGTGCTTGCCCCAAGGCAAATAGCACAACAAATTAATCCTTTCTCCATGAAATGCAGCAAAGTTTGTATCTACACTGAATCCAAATTGCTCATTAGCTCTGACATGTTCCTAATGAGGTTATAATGCTCTGGGACAAAGATCAAGCCCCGGAGCACAAATAGCTAAGGCTAGAATCATAGAAGGATAAAATTAGAAGGACCTTAGAGCCATGCGTGCTGCCCAAACTTGTCATACCAATCACCTGGGCACTCTGATTCAGGATGTCCAAAGTCCAGACTGAGTTTCAGAATTTCTGAGGGGCTCCCTGGTAGTGGTGATGTTGGTGAGCCTTTGGAGTATACTTTGAGCAAGGCCTGTGAGTTCACCTAATCCAGCTGCCTTTTCCTAGAGGTCAGGACACAAGGGCCAAGAGACTGACAACTGGAGGTATGCTGAGACTTCCCTATGATTAAATTCAGATTGTTGTCCATAAACCTGTGGGTCAGTCTGAAGTTTTTAAATGGAAGCATAGTGAGTAAAGGGTGATCAGTCATCCTGGTTTTTGTGGTCCTAAAGAGTCTTCCAGGACTTGGAATTTTTCTATGTTAAAACAGGAAATTCCAAGAAAATCAGGATGAATTTTTCACTCCATGCGGAGTCTTTTGAATCAACTTAGATCATAGCATCAGGATTATCATCTTCTCAACTTCGTCTGTCTTTGAGTGGTGACAGCATGATCTGTCGCCAAGGCAAGGACCTAAGTCTCCTACCATGAAGATCTCAAAAAGCAGATTCTCAGACAAGGCTGAGGCTCTGCAGAACATTCTATCAGCATGTTGACAAGGGCTGCTTCAAGAAACAACCTAAGAATGTCCCAAAGCAATTACAAAAGAGATTGTCATGAATACATAGAAATAAATATCATACAAGCATAAAATATTCCTCTTAACTACAAAATCTATTTTATTTTCCTCATTAAAAAAAGTATATTCAGGAAATTAATCACTAATGTTCATAAATCTCAAACATACATTAAAGTCATCTTTGGTAAGAGCTCTAAATGACACTTGCGATATAGCTCCCTTAGTAGAGTGTTTGCCTCAGATTCATAAGGACCTGGGATCAATCCCCAGCACTAAAAAAAAAAAAAAAACTCTAATGAACAGTTCAAATTAGCCTATTTCTAAGAATAATAAGAAAAAGTAAGTCACACTGTACCCAATCATGAGTATGAATAAAAAAAATATCCCTTCAAAGAACAAAAAGAGAGAAAGAATTCTCATGAAAGTAGAGAGGAAATCATCGGATGAGAGGAAGGGAAGTAGGAGGAGAGAAGGTTAGAAAGTGGGGGAGGTATTAGGAAGTAATATTGATCAGATTATGTTATATGCATGTATAAATATACAACAACAAAACCCACCATTCTGTATAATTAATATGCACCAAAAAATAAAATTTTAAAAAAGAAAAAATATATATAATAATATGTATATAAATAATATATATAAAAATAATATCCCCCTATTATTGTTATTTAACTCACTGGAAATGAGCCTATTAATGTTAGAATAATGAATATGGAAAGTAAAAGTGACTTTCCGATGCTTTCAGTGTATTATCGAGACTTCCAAAACAGAACGACATGATACTGATTCCATATGCATTCAAAATGCAGAGTTAGTGCAATCCTGACCACAATTATTCTCGCTCTCTGGAGTTTACCTATTCAAATAAGATGCCAACGTGGTCTGACTGAATTACGTGACTTAATATTCATGGAGTTAGGACACTTAAAATAAAGGAAGGAAATAAGTGTGGCTAAATATATACAATGCATTTGAAATAGGTAAAAGAGAGAACCCTAGACACTCAGCAATCATTACCTGGAAATTAAAGAGGGCAGAAGCAATCCTATTATGCATTATAAACAGCCCAGCTGCTGACTTAATGGTACTTTGAGTAGTATAACCAAGGAGTCCTTGCTTCAATATTAATAGGAAAGGTATTGTACGAATCCAATAGTTCATGAAATTAACAAGGAAAATGAACTGGGAGCAACTTTGCAAGTAATAGGAGGCATCAGCCATTGCTTCCCTGGAGCACAGTGAGCACGTAAAGAGAGCTCGGAGAAAGTACATGTATATAAATGAGAATGGACATTATTGGAATTTTCTCAATAATATTTTTAATTTGAATATATTTCAAATTCTCTGTTGGTTGCAAATCTTTTAAAGAAGAAGCTGTTATCTTAAAATGTTCATAAGAGGTTGTGGGTATGGGATCTGGCCCAAAGATATTGACAACTGCCATTTGAACCAGGCTGAAACTATCAGAAATATGTGAATGAAAATATCAAAATTATTCACACTTCACTTTTATGGAACTAAATTCTTTAAATAGTCAGAAAACAATTTCTTTATACAAGCCTCAATAACCCAAATGACCCACACATGTTCACTGGAAAGCTAAAATGTATAATTAATTCTACTTACAAACCAATGGACATGCGATGAAAGAGAACATCTTCCCCACAGACACTGCCCCGGACAATCTGACTGAAGCTTGCACTGACCAAACAAGAAGCGGAAAGGGTTTCCATAGAGGCCAGAATGTGACTTCTATTTTTCCCAGAGAGAGAACCATCCAAGTCTTCCAAAATTGCTGCATGAGGAAATGGAAATGCTACTAAATTTGAAGAGTCTGTAAACTTCAACTGGTTGGTCTTCACAGTAAATCCACCTACAAATCAACAGCATGAGACAATTATCACAAATGACAACTCAATTCACCAGGCTCATCTTAATACTTTTAAGCTGCATATTTATACACTTTTATAATTCACTCCCTTATTCATTCAAGAAAAAAAACACCACAAGTATTTATGACAGGTTATGAGTGCTTGAGATACTGAGGGACCAAAGAGCAGCATTGGCCCAGCTGTCAAACACCCTGTGCTCTATGGTAGTGGTTCACTACCAGGGGAGGTTTTGCTCCCCAGAGCACATTTGGCATCATTTGGAATTGGTTTTGGCCATTACAACTGGAGGGAGGATTGACAGTGCTGCTAGCAATTAGTAGGTAGAGCCCAGGAATGCTGCAAAACTTTCGACAATGTATAAGACTGTCCACATGACAAAAAACTATCTGGCCCTAAATACCAATAGTACCAAGGGTAAAAAACACTGGTATTGTGGGAAATAGAGACAGAGAACACTAATTTATCAAATACTAAATACTAAAGGTGCTATACTCCAGTCTTCCAATCTTTCAGCTTCTGTTCCTCTCTGGTGACTCTAACCCTATCAGCAAAACTTTTAACTGTGAGGTATATACTTTAAACATTCACCTTCAAAAGCAAGATTTGATTAGTCATTTGTATAAATAGTAACATACTTTCAATGTATTAGCTCTAGGGCTATACTTTTTAGTGCTTTCCCTAACATCATCACCAGGTGATTCTTTGGTACTGCCAGCCCAGTTGCCCTGGAAGAAGCAGTGATTGTTTCAAACACACATACCTGCCACTAAAAAAGAAAAACTGAGTATATACTTTATAGTACATATGGTGCTGTATTATTATATACATTAGAAAATATTGAAAAAAGGAAATAAAAAAGAATAAGACATAAACTGAGACTAATATTTCCATTCTGCATTAGCAATAGAATACATGCAGTAAATACAGCTATGTAGGAAAGACTCCACAATTCTACCTCTTGAAATCTGTGTAGTTCACCTAATAACACAACCACCCATAGCTCTACAATTCAGACATATTGGAGGATTCTAGTGATTCCCCAAACAGACTTATCTTTAGAATCTCTATTTTTTTGCATATGCTAATATGCAAATAACCTAGGCATTTCCCTCTGCCTACTTTCCCTTGCAAACATCTATTTACCTTTCAAAACCTTACTCAAAAGTCACTCCCATGAAGTCTTACATTCCCTCTCCCTGGACCCCTTTGCCGACTGTGTTGGTTCTCTGATATTGTACTCATCACTCTCTATACAATGATGGGAAAATGGTATTTGTTTCAGTGACTTATGAATGATATGAAACAGTAAAGCTATTAAAGAACTGTAGAATTGTGATTTGAAGTATTTGCCATAAGGCATTTTTTATTTATACAATTTATTTTTAAAATTTTAAACCTAGATACCTCTCAAATAAGAACAATCTTTGATTCTGCCTATGTAGGGGGAAAAAAATCAAGTGAAGACTTGCTGATTATTCATTTAATTAAAAAAAAACAAACAATTATCTAAATTGGTGATTTAAACCACAAGAGCATATTTACTTGAATTACTTTGCTTGGCTGTTTACAATGATCAGATAAACTAGATTGCTCTCTACCTCCTTCCACTCATGAGTCCTCCAAGGTATTTCTTACCACCTCTGAGATGTGGATAGCAAGTAAGCAAGAATGCTATGGCTCTATTTGTGCATATATCAAGCATTAAGCTGCTGAAAACATCAAGCACTTGAACTGGATCCTTCAGAAGGGGTTATATGCAAGCGAGTTTATGCCCATGTGTCCATTTATTCATGTTATAAATGAACTGTTCTCTAGGTACCAGGCTCTCCAGTATGTACTAGTAATAAAACATTGAGCAAGAGAGCCTTTATGAAGCTCAGCATTCAACTGAGACACAGCAACATACTAATAGAATCTGATGGGCATCATGACAAGCAGAAGATAGGGAACTACAGAAATGACACAGGAATACTGGGCCTCCTTTAGGAATTCTTTTAAGAAGCCAGAGTAACAGTTTCTAGTGATGCAATCTTGGATCTGAAAGAAATATTGACCCATAAAGGATTTGCCACTATTTATCATGTTCACTTGAACATTGGCCATGTTTACCATTTCCCCTGTCTATTCAAACTTACCCTGTCCTTGGGAACAGCCTGAACAGGTTCTTATGGCCACACAGTTGATGAGATCAAAATTAACAAAGGTTGTTTTAGAAACCAGCAGTTCCCATCTTTTGGGAGTTTTAATCCCAGCTGACATACAAAGACTTTCCTGTTTTTTTTTTTTTTAAGAAAAGAAAGAAAAAGCAAAGAAAGTAATACAAATTATGAATTATAGTAATAATTAGTAAAATAAATAAATAAACATTAAAAAAGAATAAAAAACAAACTACAGACTTAGAGAAAATACTTGTTGATCACATATAAGACAAAGATCTTAGATCCAGAATATAAAAAGAATCTGCATAACTCAATAGCAATAAAACAGAAAATTTATCTTAAAAATAAAATAAAAGACATTTCCCTAAATAAAGTGGAAATATCAGCACATGAAAAAAATGTTTAACATAATATTCATTAGGAAAATGCAAATTAAGATCAAAATAAGATACACTCACTATATACTTATTAGATTGAGTAAATAAAAAAGAGTGCTGATGATGAGGAACAACTAAAATGCATACATTGCTGGTGGAATGCAAAATGGGATAGCCACTGTGGAAAACAGTTTGGCAGTTCCTTATAAAGTTAAATACACTCTTCACATAAGATGTAACAATTTAACCCCAAGGTGTTTACCTTAGAGAAATGAAAACTTGCATTCACACAAAACCCTGACATAAATGGTTATGATTCCACTTGTAACCACCAAATCTGAAGAACAACTCAAATGCTTTTTTAGACATGGAGGGATAAACAAACCATATTGCATCTATCACTGCTCAGAAACAATAAAGAATTTTTTTAAAAAAATACTTGAAACAAATCGCATGATTTCCCAAACACATTTGGGTATGAAAAAAAGTTAGTTCCCAAAAGTTAGGTGCCTTATGATTCTGAAAACAAAGTTTTGAGATGAAACTCAATTCACTGCTTCTGCCGGCAGGTGCAGCTGCAGCTGAAAAGAGGCAACTCTTAATAGCAGGCCATACCATCCAGTGTGGAAGCTGACCCCTGCAGCTCACTGTCAATTTTTCTTCTTTCAGGGTCCTTGTCTTGTGAATTCAAAAATTCAGGTATACAGACAAGGATGACTGAGTGTAATAGCATGATTTATTTATGAGCAGAAGAGGAACACAACTAGTGCATTGCAATAAAAGACCTGTTATTAAGTTTTTTCCTCTCTGAGAGTGCAAGTCTAGGAGTTTATATAGTACTTGGATCACTGCTATAGATTCAAACTTAAGCTAATTAGGGTTTGACAGAAGTAAAATGCTACTGGTCCAACTGTATTCAAATTACGGTTTGGAACCCAACCACCGCTATTGGTCAACTGTCCAAACCAGACTTCCTTTCAGGTCTGCCTTCTTCCATTTTCTCCAGGGAGCAGGAAATTGAGGTCGTGAGATGGTCTGTGCTTGCAGGTTTTGGGTTACATTGCTGCATGGAGCAGGTTTCTGCAGCAGGTGTCCATACAGTGCCCAGGCTTGATCGCTGAAGGGTGACCATCAATGAGCTTTGGCTCCCAGCATTTCAGGATCACCTCAGGTCATGGTTGCACCTGTGCTCCAACCTACATGAGCTGCTTATTCCACTGCTCCTCCCTTCTTCTGCTGCTTCTGGACAGGGACCAGAGGTTTGGCACTGGAGAGCCATGTCAATTCCACTTATATAGTTTTTGAAAAGGCAGTTGTTCACAGGAAGTAGATTAGTAATTGTCAGGAGTCAGAAGTGAGAAGAGGATGTGGCTCCAAAGATGGTGCTCCACAGAATTCAGATTGATGTAACTGACTTGCTGCATCTTGACTGTGGTGGTCATGGTTACATATATTTGTATGTGTTTAAAATTCTGAGAATTATTCATCAAAAATGTCAGGTTTGTCATAGTCAATATAGAAAAATAAACTATCACAAAATGTTGGATTCAGTATATGCTCAAGTACCCTTAAAGAAAATGCATGAATTTCAAATACAAATTCTAGATTTGTTTTGCAGGTCTATCACTGTTTAAATAAAAAACTTAAAATGAAAAAAAAAATAATGTTTGAAGTGAAAGAAAAGCTTCTAAGCTTTCCCATAAAAGCACTTCAACAAACCCCATTCAGTCAATTTCTTAGGGACTTGCTCACTGTTCCATTGTTAAAAATAGTTACATTTTGAAAATCAGTAGAATTTTTATAAAAGCTTTCAACATGAAAAACAGTGACAAAAATAAACATCAGTGGGACAAAAAAAAAAAAAAAAAAAAACACCAAATGGAGATAAATATACTGTAGAGATCAGAGGAAAATTTAAACAGCATTATTAATAACTTAAGAGAAATAAGTATAGCCATGAAACAAACAAAAGAACCCTTAAGAGAATTCTTTAAAAAAAATAAAAATAGGAGAGCAGAAATAAAAAACTGAATAGAAAAATTAAGGCAATATCTTAAAAAGCAAGACAAAGAGACAAAGAGACGAAAAATCAGAAAAATATTAGGAAAGCAATCTATATAGTCAAGTATTCAAATAATAATATTTTAAGTAAAAAAAGAAGAAAATATAAGGGAGACAACTATCAAAGAAATAATTGAATAGAACTTCCTAAAAAGGGAGGGTAAAATTTTCCAGTCCTTAAAGGCCCACACAATACCTAACACAGTAGCTAGAACAAAGAGCCACACCAAAAACATGGTATTGACGTAAAACACTGGGACAAGGATAAAGCTCCAAAAGCTACCAAGAAGAAAAAACATAAGTAATTACATATAAAATATCCAGAATCTGAGTATCTCAAACCATCATCCTCGAGACTAGAAGCTGGAATTAATAGTGCTTACCCTCAAAAATTTAGGACAAAGTTAACTCTTATCTGGAATTTTATAGCCAACAAAGTACCTATAAGGGGTTTTTTATAAGTAGCTCAAAATTTTCACCTTTTAAACTTCCCTTTCCTCTGGAAAGTTACTACAGGCTATGCTCTAACAAAATGAGGAAATAAACTAGAAAGAAGGAGGGAAGAGGTGGGAATGAGGACCAAGAATTCCAACACTATAGAAACATGAAGGAAATCTCCAGGGCATGGAAAGGAGAAATTCCAAGGTACACAAGGAGACCCTTCTCAGGTTCTGCTGATGTGAGCGCTAACCATCTGCATGGCTGCCTGGCACCATCCACTAAAGATGAAGGGGTACTCTACAATCAACAATTTTACAACTTCACTTATTTTCCACAGAAATGTATGAATATGAACACCAAAAGACATGTAGAAGGATATTGATAAAAGATAGCAAAAATTAAAAAAAAAATCTAATAGTCATCAATAGTAACATACCTTTAAAAACAGAAAGATACGTAATGATTGGAATAGTCATAAAAAAGAATAGTATGTAATGGTTGGAATAATAAATTATTGGAAAACAATAAAGACATAGTTGAATCTCACAGACATAGTATTGTGCCAAAGAAGCCAGGTAAAGTAGAGTTACATGTTCTATGATTCCTTTGATATAAAATTTAAAAGAAAGAAAAGTTAATCTGTACCAATGTGAGTCTGTATAACACTTCCCCTCTGACTGTAGAGTTATGGGTAGGATTTGGAATAGGGGGACAGGAGGGCTTCAGAGGAACCCATAATGTGCTATTTCTTCATCTGGGTGATATTTACATGGTTGGTTTGCTTTATAAAAATCCACTGATTTTTTCCCTTGTGGTTTATGCACTTTTCTTCATAAATATTATATTTTCACAAAACATTTATTTTAAAAAGTAGGACAAATACTAAGGGAAAGTAACACAGAGCATGAAAGGCTAAAGAAAGAAGCTGAGCAGTTGAAGGTCCTTGAAATGCACAGGTAATGTTCATGCATGCTACTGTAATTTAGACTTCATTAAGACAAGCAAGCATGTTAAAAATTTAAGGCCAAGAGAAAAGACAATCAAAACAGAACAAATAATTTTCAAATGAGAAACTATTAAAGAGATACAATGCAAGACAAATCAAGTTAGAAAAGTCGGAAAGAGAAAGAAAACGGATTGCAAAACTGGAAGCACAGAATAAGATAGTAGGGAAAAAAATGCAAATATATGAGAGACATCAGCATGAAGATGGTAATTGAAACCACAAGAGAAAATGAGATTTCTCCCAGGGAGAGCAAGTATGATGAGAAGAGAGGGGGCCCTACACCAGACTTTAGGGAAACAAAAAGATGAAAGGTTTAAATTGAGGAAGACAGATCCACAAGTGAAAATGGAAACTAAATGCCAGGGAAGAAGGAGAAAGAATAAAGCATCCCCATCAGCCCCTGCCTGGTGCCTGATAAGATATTTTTAAAAGTACCATCTTCTGCTCAGATTAATTATAATAGCAACAGAAAGACAATCACCCCAAAGATAGTTCAAAAGGTGGGTGACCATAGATTAAATCCAAATCAGGGTATTTTTGAGTCTGAAAGGGGATGCTAATTAGATTGAATGTCAGGAGAGAGTGTATCAACACACTGCTCAACCAGACTGAGATGTGTAGCAATGCCATAGTGCATCTTTTCATGTCAATTAAAATATTCTATCTACTATAGATTGGGTGTGAGAGTACCAAATAAACCCTTTCTAATGATAAAAAAAAAAAGTTCTTCTAGAAATTGATATCTATTTGAGGACATGAATCCCTGATAATAGAATGCTATAAATTAAATGTGGATGAGAGGCCTATACATGGAAGGGGTCAAATCCACTAAAAATCTTAATTCCTAAAGGAATGTCAGGCATGAGAGAAATCTCAGGAATGAGAGATAGAGGCTGAAGTCATAGTTCTACAACCTCTGCTCCACCCACTTCAAACAACTGATACCTAGTGATAAAGAGATTAGCAAAATAAATTTCAGAAATGTGTTAATTAATGATTAATGGATATTTTTCTTATTTGTTTTAATCCTAGAATTGCTCAGAACCTGTAATTTTTTTCTTTCTTTTTTTTTTTAATGAATTTTACTGTGTGTCTTTAAGGTTTATAATATGATGTTATGGGATATATACAGATTGTAAAATGTTTATTATAGTGAAGCAAATACCATGTTATCTCATATATTTACTATTTTTTACAAGATCAACTAACATTGATCTATTTTTTAAAAATTGCCCATGCAATTTTATTAACTAGAGTCCTCATATTGTACATTAGGTTTTATTTAAAGTTTTGGAAAACAGACAATATGGAAAGCAGCATAGTGTAGACATAATTAATCTTCTTTCCCAGACATATTCTTGGGGCTAGGCACTCCTAGAGAATGCTTCAGAGAATATTGGTGTAGGCACCAATGCATGTTCATGGCAAAGCCATTTACCATATATAATCAAGATTATTGGATCAGAAGTTGGGAAGATATCAAAGTATCCCTGGATCTGAAATACTAGGAATAGACCTTGAGCTGTATTTTGATTCCCCCAAGTTTCCATTTCTTTACTGCAAATTGAGAAATTCTACTCAGATAATCTTTTAGGTAACACTGAACAATGAAATCACATGGCTTTAAGATTTGGATGACTAACCAGTATCTAGATTTCTCTAGAACAAAAGAGTTTAACATTTTGTATCAGAAGACTCTTGTCCTGCACTTGTTAAAAGAGTTTTTTTTTAAAAAAAAAAAAAAAAAAAAAACCTCAGCTGCACTGCTTTCCTAGTGAGTTACACCCCAGGCATGTGATTATTTGTGATTATCTCATGATAAGCACCCTTTTATCATAATTTATATATTAATTTATGTCACTCTCCCTTTAATTATGATGTCTATTTAACATCAATTAAGATATTCAGCAGCATTAATTTACCAGGACAGTTATCCAATTTGATGGGTGTTTTGTTTCTAGAATCTATTCTAAAGTTATTCTGGAAAGTTCAAGGGCCTTTGATCTACCAGTATCACAAAATGTAAATCTGAGTGCCATCCTTTCTTGGAAACTATAGTCTGAAAAGACTCATCCCTTGTGTTGGTGACCCTATAGTAGAAAAGGAAGAAATGTCAGGTTCCTGCTTTCAGAAAGCATGGTTTAAAAGAAATTGAACTAAGGAAAATTTAAAATCAAATACAGAAAAATGTATCTCAGTAAGAAAATGGTGTTGTAAATCATAGTGTTTCTATCTAGAGCTATGTAATAATCTCCAGTGGAAGCATAAGTCAATAATTATCATTTAAATTTCAAATGGACAACATATTCAGCAACAAACTGAAGAGAAAGTTTTTCCCAAGGTTCCCAGGAATGTTGGAGGCCTCTTCTGTCTATGATTTTTCGGACAATATGATTGCTTGTATGCAGATGGCTCTTTCTGAAGCAAAAAATATAGGAGTTCCATAAAGGACTAAAGCCTAAGAGATTACTGTAGTCTGAATTCTTTTAAGGAGAACTAGGACTGCTCCCTTGGGAAGTATACTTTGTCTCATCTGTATTCTGATACTCTGACCATTCAGTGGAGGAGACATCTTCTATAGTCTAATTTTTATGTAGAACCCATACTTAAACAAGAGCTAGGGAATACATACAGAATCTTATTGTACTGTAACAAACTGTGTAAATTTATATTATCTGATTCAGTCTCTGGGCACCTTAAATGGAGTAAGGGTCTTATTAATAAAATGGTAAAACATGGAGCAGAGAGACAATATGAAACTATACTATATTATAATCCTTGTAAGGTTAGACAAATTTAAATTATTAGGTTCAATATAGAAATTAATAGTAAGCCTGAATTATAATCAAATAAGAATTCTTCTAGCTATTACTATATTACTATTTATAAGGACCCAACACTGAAACACTGAGTTTCAGTGTATATTTGAATCTTATTTTTAATACCATCACTGTTACAAATAAAAAGCTCTTCTAGTTTTTACCAGTTAAATATAAGATCCACTAAAGAATAGTATTAAAATTACACATCGTGGATCATCAGGGATCCCTGCACATATGATTCTGTTTTTATGGACAACCTATAAACAATCACACTAAGGACTTACCTTTTGGTTAAAATGACCAAGTAATAAACTGTCAGTAACCGAAGTATTTGCATCACTTTCCAAGATGTCAATTCCAAAGTCTCTGCATGAATAAACTTGGAAATTTTTCAGATGAAGATTGCTACTTCTAAAAATCTATAAGATAAGAGCATATGTTATGGCAAAGGTCTGAGGTGTGGTTTGTCTTACAGTATTCCTGAAACTTCTTTAATTATCAATTAATATAAATAAGCATTTTATGCCATTTTTAAGCAACTTTTATTCATGCATATACATATAGACATTGCCACAAGGTTAGCACTAACTAGTCCCCTTTGTTTATACCCGCTTTGTACTTTCCATTTCTCTTCAAAGAATTAATATGTTGAAAGGTCAGAGTGGATTCTTCACCTATTTAAAATAGTTTTACAGTGCATAAAAAGTACATAGTTAATGCAGAAAAACAGCACCCAGGAATTTCAGTGCTTAGCGTTTTCTTCAATACAGTATATATTAACTCGTATAGTCAGCAGATTATAAATATAAAATAAATAACTTAGCATGGCTACAGATTAATTGTGTGTGGACTCAGCATATGATACATATGTACATTTATGACAACTGGGCTGTATGTGCTCAAGTAGTAACAAAATTAGTTTGTTAATGTTGAAAGAATCCCACTGGTCTTATGTTAACTATATGATCTTAGGTAAGATATTTAACTTCTCATAGGCTTTGGTTCAACATCTTTAAAATCAGGGTGCAGGTCAGAACTATTATTAAAACTAAGACTCATCCCTTTATTCATTAACATAATCAATAAAACCAATTTGTTAATTATAATAATAAAATGTATTAATTATTCATTAAAGAGTATCATACCTTTACTGGAAGTTTCTTATTAATTAAGGCCAAGGTATCCTTAATTTGATTTATCATACTATCATTCTTCTACATGTCAATCAGTCTTTGTATTTGAAATTTTCATTATGCATAACATATATATTTTCTATAAAATGATAGTTCTTTGAAGGCATAGGTTTACTTGAAACAAGTAGGTATGGTATGAGCTGAAAACTGATAACAGCTATTACCTAATTACATACATCCACAAATATGCTCTTTTTGCAAATACATTCATGTTCAAAACCAGCTAACACCTAGCATGAGCTAGGAAATGTGCTGATTTGAAAAGGAAACCAATATACAATAGCAAAATGCACCTATTTTTAGAGACAATTCAACTTTAACAGTGTGTTGTCAATTTGCCCTCTTCTAGAAGAATTACTTTGCATTATGAAACTTGATGAAAAGAAAGTATTTTTTCAACTTTTATTTAACATAGAAGTGTCAAATCACTTGCTTGGAATTAACATTTTTGCTGTGAGACTTTAGCAAATATTTTACCCCTTAGATAATTTTACATACAAAAGAAATAAAATAACCTCAAAGTTAAGATTATTAAAACAGAAAAGTTTCAAAAATCTTAACAATATCATCAAATAGATACAGCCAGCCTCATGTTTACACACAATAGAAAATTTCTGTTCAACTTTACCCCTCATCAGAGAAATGAAACATAAAACCACAGTGAAATATCACTTCAAACCTTTCAAAATGACTATAACCAAGAAGGAGAAAGATAATGGTTGGTGAGGATGTGGAGAAAAGAGAGCCCTTACACTCTGATGGAGGGAATATAAATTAGTATACCACTATGGTAAACAATGTGAAGTTTCCTCAAAAAAAGTAAAAACAAGAACAATTATGTAACCCAGAAATCCTACCACTACATATATATCCAAAGGAAAAAAAGATCAATATGTTGAAGAGACACCTGCATCCACCTGCAGCACCATTCACAATAGCCAAGATGTGGAAACAACCTAAGTGTCCATCACTTAATGAATGGAAAAAAGAAAATGTGATGCTACTCAGATTTAAACAAGAAGTAAATCCTGTCATTATTGTGATAACATGGATAAATCCAAAGGATTTAATGCCAAGTGAAAAAAAAAAAAACAGGCAAAGAAAGGCAAATGCCACATATTCCCATTCACATATGAAATCTGAAAAAGTCAAACACAGAATAGAATGGGGTTTGGAGGAGGGGAACAAAGAATGGGAATATGTTGTCAATAGATACAAATTTTCAGTTAGGAGGGAGGAGTAAATTCAAGAGAAATATTGTACAACATGGTGACTATAGTTAATAGCAATGTATTATATATTAGAAATCACTAAGAGAGCAGATCTAAAGCATACTCATCACTAAAAGTAAGTATGTGAGTTAATGCACAATTTAGCTCAATTTAGACATTCTTTATACATGTTTCAAAACATGATAATGTACATGATAAATATGTACATTTTTGTCAATTAAAATCAATTAGCAAAAATAAAATAAAATAAATCCAATGAGAAAAAATAGGAATTTTACTAATGAAATACTCTGTTCTAGTATCTATATACATAACACTTGGGTCTAAATGATCAGAAATAATGGGAGTTTATGAAACTTATATACAAATGTAGTTTTCATGATGTAAAGGGCACTTTTTGGTATAATTTTGAGAGACATAATTATCAACATCAGTGTATTACTTTCCAATCCTGTTTAGTGAAACTCACAATAATAATAGCTAGAGTTCATGAGCATTCAGGAAGATCTTGTGGGCATTTCATATTCAGGGACTTACTGTTATCATCATTGTCATCATCATCATCATCATCATCATCATCATCATTTTTTGATGCATAAAATTGTACATATTTATAGGGGTCATGTGAATTTTCAATACATGTATAGAGTATATAAGGTTCAAGTAAGGATAAGCTTATCTGTCTTCTTAGATACTTATCATCATTCATGTGTGTGTACAGAAAACATTCAATACCTTTCTAATTTTTTTGAAATATACAGTACATTAGGATTATTATTCTACTGTGCTATTTCACCAGAACTATTTCTCCTATGGAATTGTAACTTGGTACTTAGGGATTTATTTAACACTTAAAACAAATATTCTTTAGCTACCATTACTGTCTCCATCTTACCAATGAAGCAGAAGTTAGGGAGGATTTTCTCAAAGTCATTAAAAGAAAATGGGAACATTTGAGAGTTTGCATAACCAGATACATAGGATATTACCCTTTTGTAAACAGCTTTATTAAAATATAATTCATATTCTATACAATTCACCTAACTTACTTTACAATTCAGTGGTACTACTATATTCACAGATATGGGCAAACATCACCACAGTCAATTCTAGAACCTTGTTTTCAGTTCAAGAAGAAAGCTCATGCATGTCCTTTTAGCTATCATTCCTCATTCCATTTCCACTATTATCTCTGACCCTCCACCCCTAAGTAAGTGTTAATTGTTTCACCTCTGTAGCCTTCCCTATTTTGGATATTTAGTTGAGGAAAATAACATAGGGTGCCTTTTTTTCTGTTATTGACTTTTATCATTTAGCATAATGTTTTCAAGGTCCATTCATATGACAGCATATGTAAGTACTTCACTTCTTTTTCTGGGTGAAGCATTTTCCATGGCATGAATCTGTCACACTTTATCCATCTGTCCACTGATAAACATTTGGGTTGTTTCTGTCCTTTGGCTATTATGAATAATGATACTGCTATAAACATTTGGATACAAGTTTCTGTTTGTACATATTTTTTAATTTTTTTTTCTTAGGTATATTCCTAGGACTGTAATTCATGAGTTATATGGTAACTTTATTTTATTTATTTATTTAATCATTTAAGAATCTACCAGAATATTTCCTAAAGAGACTGGAGCATTTTAAACTCCCAACATAAGTATTTAAGAATCATTTTTCCACATTCTCAGCAACTACTTATCATCTTTGTTCAGGACACATTAGTAGGTGTGGGGTGGTATCTCATTTAGCGTTTGATTTGTCTTTCCCTAATGACTAGTGATGTCACATATTTCTTCCTGTGGGGTAGTGAACAGACCACAGTGGTAGAATGTTTGCCTAGCATGCATGAAGTCCTGGGTTTAATAGCCAGCATCATAAAAATTAAAACAAAAAAAAAGTTCTCCATATGATTATTGAAGAGCTTATTTACAGAGGTGTATATTCAGATCACTACCTTCATTTTTTAATTGGATCATTTGTCTTTTTGTTGTTGAGTTATAGCAGTTAACAGTAATCTTTATGTATTTAAACTACATAATTTGCAAACATAATCTACCATTCTATAGGTTGTTTTACCTCTGTAGTCTTCCCTATTTTGGATTTTTAGTTGAGGAAAATAACATAGGATGTCTAGATAGTGGCACTAAATTTTCTTAATTTTGATGCAGTCCAATTTATCTGCTTTTTTTTTTTTTCTGTCACCTGTGTTTTTGGTGTTGTCTTTAAGAATTCATTGCCAAATCCTTAGTCCAGAAGATTTACCCTATGCTTTCTTCTGAGTGTTATAATTTTTGCTTTTACATTTAGGTCCTTGATTCATTGGGCCAATTGTAAATAGTACAAGAAAAGGATTCTATTTCATTCTTTTGCATGAGGCGCACTGGTTGTCCAAATGCCATTTGTTGGAAAGACTGTTACTGTTCCTGTCCTCGTTGAGTGGTCTAAACATCATTCATCAAAATTCATTTGATCATAAACCTAGGGGCTTATTTCTAGACTCTCAACTGTATTCCACTGCTTGGTTTTTCTACTTTTGTTCCCTTACCTGTCTTGACTATCATCACTTTGTAGTAAGTTTTCAAGTGGGGAAGAATAAATCTTGATTCTTTACTCAGGATTATTTTGGAGATAATTACTTTCTAAATTCCCTGCCATCATGCTTTTTATTTCGTTTTCTTTATTTTTCCTCATAAGAGTGAAGTTCCAAAGACCTTCTTATTATTTGAACTCTTTGACTCACTAAACTTAAGTGCACAAGAGCTCAATCTGTATGGGCCTATTTTTTCTTTCACAGGATTAGAATTCCTGATGGCAGACCCTTAAAAAATAAAATAAAATAAAAAATAAAAACTATCTTCAATAAATGTCTTTTAATTGTCTTGTTTCATTGGAGATGTCCTCAAGGACAGGGAGCACAGACTGTAAACCTGTGTGTCTAGTCAACTTTTCATCCTTTATGGGAGAGAAAGTGTTTCATAAAATTAAATGACAACAGGCCGGGTGTGGTGGTGGCAAATTCCTGTAATCCCAGAGACTCAAGAGGCTGAGGCAGAGGGATTGCAAGTTCAAAGCCAGGCTCAGCAAAAGCAAGGTACTAAGCAACTCAGTGAGACCCTGTCTCTAAATAAGATACAAAATAGGGTTGGGGAGGTGGCTCAGTGGTCCAGTGCCCTTGAGTTCAACCCCTGGTACTCCCCCGCCCCCCCACGAAAGAAATGAAAACAAACTACCAAAAGCAAGTGGTAGTCTTCCAGTTATTCATATTAATGATGTATTTTTGAGCTTTCCTTATTTACAAGTGTCTCCTTCTTGTTGGATATATAAAATAAATATTTGACTTTAATTGTGAGCTAATTATATGATTTTATTTTATTTCATGAATGTGCTATAAACATTTTTTTCATTTATATATCTTTGGCTTCAGATTTCTAAGACCAGATTTCAGAGACCAAATGTATGCAATTCATACAGCATCAACGCCACCCTGTATAGTTTTATATGTTGCTAATAGCATTGAATATACAAAGTGTCTTCTTTAAAAAATCATGTGATAATAAAACATAAATGATTAAACATGAAGAATTTATTGATTAAAGTAAGGATGGCAGCTTGAGCTGGAATTGTGTTCTCATGATGAGCCATGCTTCTTCCTAAGACTGGTATAGGCATTATTCAGGATATTAGAGTATCCAGTGTGCAACAACGTATCTGGACTATGTACCTGCTTGTGCTACTAAGCAACTATGTGACATTGACAAATTTTATATTTTGTACTTTGATTTATTATCTGCAAGTAGGTATGGGAAAGGAAGAATGGATGGACCTCTAAAATCCCTAATTCATCCTGGTTATTAAATCCTATTTTCTATTGGGGTTGCTGAAAAGTCCCATAGAGAAAATGACCTAACTCTAGATGACCAACAAGACTTTGTTCATTCAACTACTCCACACACACCTCTGATGCTACTGGTGTTGTGACGTGTCAGTGTCACTCTCACCAATAAATCATCCCATTCATTAGAAATATGTAATACACTGTCAGAATAAAATAAGAAACAGTTTTAGTTTTTCAAAAAGCTAATGAAACTTACCTGGGCACCACCTGCACTTCCCCAAACCATGAAGTTTTGGAGCACAGTGGGGCCAGAATCATTGTCCCAAGGTGGCTGAAATTTAGGATATACAAAGAGACCATACCTACAAAGTGAAACAAAGAATAAAACTAAGCCAATTGCTATTTTCTAATTTCCTAATTTTTCACCTTGGAATTACAAAAGTTTTATGTGTTTTTATTTTTTTAAATGATACATAATAATTGTTTGTTTTCTGTTTATTCATTTTTTGTTGTTGTTTTCATTTGCTTCTTTGTTTGGGTACTAGGGGTTGAACCCCGGAGCATTCAACTACTAACCCTATCTCAAGAACTTTTTATTTTTATTTTAAGATAGGGCCTTGCTCAGTTGCTTATGGCCTTACTAAATTGCTGAGGCTGGCCTTGAATTTGAGATCCTCCTGCCTCAGCCTCCAGAGTCTCTGGGATTACTAATACAGAATAATTGTACATATTTATAGAATTCATGTGATCCTTCTATTCATGTACACGTTATGTAATGTTCATGTAGGGTAAGTATGTCTACCTCCTCAAACATAATTTCTTCATGATGAGAATATGCAAAATCTTTTCTTCTTGATTTTTTGAAATTATCATTATCTGTAGCTAGCTCTCCCACAACAAAAAGAAGGTGACATGGCACACTTAGTACCTAGGTCCAAAATATGTGGTAACTCTACCACAATTCTGTTGCATCGCTATAGTAGAGAATATCCAATCAGAATGTATGGCACCATATAGGGGAGGCAACAGGGCTAACAGGTATGGGGAGGACTAACACAGGGTATATGAAGCAATGCCCTGCTGTGCTGGGGGTCAGCCTTTAGTTACGAACCTGCTGGGCCAGTGCCAGCACCAATAAACACGGCTTCCTGCTGAAAGCCCTGGTATCCTGTCTCTCTGTGCAAGAATCCTACAACACAGCCAGGCCTGCTGTATAACAGAACACCACAACTTATTTCTCCTGACTGTAACTTGGTACTTGATCCTTCTCTCTCCTGCTCTCCTTAGACTCTGCTAACCTCTGTTCAACTCTCAATTTAAGTGAGATAAACTTTTTAGAATCCACATATAAGTAAGATCCTGGGGTCCTTGTCTTTCAGAGTCTGGTTTATTTCACTCAACATAATGTCTTCCGGCTTCATTCATATTGTCACAAATGACAGTATTTGACATTTTCTTAGAGCTTAAAATATTCCTCTGTGTATGTGTACCACATTTTCCTTTTCATCACTTGATAGACACATGGATTCTATTTCTTTGTTATTACAAATAGTGCTAAAATGAACATGAGAGTACAGATGTCTCTTCAACAGACTGATTTCATTTTTTTTGATACATACACAGTAGTGAAATTGATGGATCATGTGGTAGTTCCATTTTTAATTTTTTGAGGGCTCCTCAGAGTGTTTATCCACACATTATATTCCCACCAATACTGTACAAGCTTTTCACTTTCTCCACATCCTGCCCAATACTTACCTTTTGTCTTTCTGATTATCTCTCTTCTAACAACTATGAAGTGTTATCATGCTGTGATTTTGATTTGCCTTTCCCTGATGATTGGTGATTTTAAGAATTTTTTGTTTCATATATTTCTTGGTCACTTGCATGACTTCTTTGGAAAAAAAAATGTCAATTTAGTTCTATTGCCCCCGCCCCTATTTTTGCTATTGAAGCATTTGCCTTATATATTCTGAATATGAATCCCTCATCAGACATAAAAGTAGTAAATATGAGAGAGTGGAGGTCACTAAGCCTGTGAACCTCCTCTCTGTCACTGCTCATCCCTCAGCCTTTCCAATCTGTTGCCTCTGGGGCCTGCATCTTAACAAAATGCAGCCTATAGGTTCCTTGTTATTCTATCAACCCCTCTGAATTCACCCTTCTTACATGAGTGGATACTGGCCTTTGTAATCCTTTCACCTTTTGTTCTTTCTGGAATGCCTGACCATCACTGTACTCTGGGTAGGGATACTTTCTTTCCTCACATTCCAGAACTGCTCAGAGCTGCTGGATAAAATCTTCATGGTCATAATGATAATTTCAACAGCATGTACTGCTCCCAGCCTCAACTGGCATCTCAACATTGCTGAGCAATTGTTCATAATCCTTATTCTATTCATCTTATCATTTAACATCATAGTTACATTACTAAAATTATTGTCATAATTATTTATAGCTATCAAGTATCAAGTTGCTATTACATTTCAGGTGTTCTCCTCAATGTATCACATAAATCATTTCTAATTTTCATACCAAACTTTCTTTTAAAAAATTTTTTTAGTTGTAGATGGACACAATACCTTTATTTATTTTTATGTCATGCTGAGGATCAAACCCAGTGCCTCACATGTGCTAGGGTAAACACTCTACCACTGAGCCACAAGCCCAACCCCTCACACTGAACTTTCAATGCAGATTTGTGCCTATTTTACAAATAAGGTATCTGACTTAAAAAAAAAGTGAATCTACTGGGAGTAGAGTTAAGGGATTTGAATCAGAATCTGATTCTAAAAGACAGCATTTTTCATGTTTCTCAAATTCTCTCCCCCACCTGTTTCCCAAGTCCTTGCTCTTAGAAGGCCTTTCTGTCTACATAACAAAGACTTAACAAGTTTCTTCTTCTTTTAAAAGGAGCAAGTCAGGGGCCCAGCCTCTTCTCCAAGACTATTTTCTCCATTGGGGTCCTGAGTCAGACTCACCAGCTTCCTATGATCTTTGCATCGCCAGTTGCTTCAATCTCTTGGAAGTTTAATTGCTCTGTCTGTAGAATTCTCTCCAGGTACAACAGGTACAGTCTGACCTGCTGCCTTCTCAAGTGACTTCTTCCTTCCCCTCACCACCAAATTTTCATGATCCAAAATGCTTACACAATTACAGTAGCTAAGACAAGCATGTACTGTAAGTGTTCATGAACAGATGAATGAATGGAGAAAATGTGTACACGCTGACAGTGGAATATTATATGGCTTTTAAAGAGAAAAGAATCCCCCTATTTGTGTCAATGTAGATAAACCTAGAGGATGCTATGCTGGACAAGGTTACATAACACTGTTAGTGGTAATGAATATGCTTGTAGCATAGATTTGACATTGGTTTCATGGGTGTATACTTCTCTCCAAATTTATTAAGTTGTACACACTACATATATGCAGCTTTTTGTACACTAATCACACTTCAATAATGTGATTTTAAAAAAATAAATTGGCAACATTAAATAAGAATATATAATGGTCAAGCAATCCGGGTAATGGGCCCCATCAAAGTCTTTTTCATAAGTAAAGACCATGAGACTTTACTTATGAAAGTAAGTAAAATGTTGGGAACATTCTAGTCAACCCCTTTGTCCCAGAGGAAAAATGGAAGGTGGGGATGAACCCAGAGGGGTGTTACTGGAAGGATTAAAACTCAAAGACTAAAGAACCAAGCCAAGAGCCTTAACACTATGTTATCTGTTATCTATGTTAAACAGCATCTATTTAACATAGATTTTGACCAATTGCTTTGGTGCTTTTTCAATGCCTGTTTAAAATAAATTTTGGTCAATGATCATAATCAAAAATCATATAGGCCCTCAGGCTAGCACACCAACAAGGGTTTTCTGCTATCAATCTCCCCTCTATTGTGGGAGTGCTCTGTCTTATTTTCTTATCTAAGTAAATCCTACTCCATTCATTCTTCTCTTCTGTTATTATACATGGATTGTATTCCTCAAATTTGTGAGAAAAGAACCCAGAAAGCAGTCGGTGAGGCCTATGGCCTGCACAAACCCCATCCACCAACAGAAGCAGGGAATATAGTCTCATCTCAAAACTCCAGTTTCAGCATCACCAAATATCAAATGAAAATGTCAAATGTTTTTCCCTCGTGTGAGTGTCCCAAAGAAAAATGCTAAATCACAAGCATTTCACATTTGAATTTTCCCAAAGTTACCTTGTACAAGAATGTGCAATGTTCCGAGTGAATGACAGGAGCGGAGCTTGCGATGTTTGGCTGGTCACAAGATGAAAAAAGTATCCATAGCCAGCAGCACACACTCTGTTCCCCTACAGAAATTATGAATAATTTTTTTTAAACTGAAATATATTCCACATATGTTGAGGTTGCTGAAAAAGAAAAAACTGTTTATTTGCAATGATTCTACATTTTTATACACTTTGCGTTAACATACTGAAACGCTTGTGGATTTATTTTTCCCCCTCAGGATCAAAATCTTTCCCATTCCCTTTCCTCCAGGCAGCTCACCTAGATCATAATTTGCACACTTCAAGAACTAGCATCTTTTACTGTCTACCTTTTAAGTTTGCACAGCGAGAGGGTTACATGTGACACTTAATCTGAGCCTCTCCTCTATGATATACACAAAGATACACAGTCAATGGTTTGGCTCTGAGCAGAAGGCCAAATGATTGAGTTAGCCATGCTTGAGTTTGAGACATGGTGGTGGAGTTCAAGTACAAGCCAAATCTCCTCAATGCCCTCTTGTGCTGCTTAAATTATTAAATCATCTTAATATTTCTTTATAGGATTTGCTATCAACATAATTTAGTGTCTTTTATATTTTCACATAAAATCTAAATTCTCTATTGGACCATTGAGTTTTGGAATCTAATTTTGCACAAACTAAACATAATGAGATTATTTTTATAAATTCTAAGAAGTTTCTATAACATGTTCGTAGCTATGTAATACCGTGTAAGATAGCTAAGAAAATTGACTTTCTAAAAGGTTTGATAGTGCACACAGATGTATTTTACTTGGCTTACCCAATGTTTCCAAATTTTTTATTCTATTTCCATCATTTTAAAATTAGGAGACAATATAAAAAAAATCAGACTTTTAGCTTTTCTGAATCCAAATTCCTGTGGTGTGGTCCAGGATCAGCTGGAGATAAGAAGGACCCACCTTCTTGGCCATGGATTATCTTTCCGTACTCCCCACCCTTCTGGTTTTATATATTTATGATGCTTTTCCCTAGACCCTGTACACTTTTGAATTTGCAACCTCTAAACTCCAAGCACTAAAATAACTGGCATGTTGGCTATTCCATGGACGTTTCTATTGACCCTTTTTCTGAATTGCTTCTGAGCCCTGCCAGTGGCAGATGCTCACATCTCAGAAGAGTCTATCCTCTCTTTCTTCTCCCCAACATCAGGGAGACAGAACTCTGATTAAAAACCAGGGACCCCATCAGACTACTGCACTAGGGTGACACTGTGGATGGGAAGAATAAAGGCCATCGATGGAGTTGCTGGACTGCTTCCTATGTCACTGTACACATATGCGCCCCCAGCCTGAGAGCCTGTCTGAGGCCAAGATGTTCATGTCTAGTGAGGGAATCCAAGTTAAGAACAGCTTGCTCAGCCTGTTGCAGGCTACACTTGTTCCACCCTAATACAGCGAGTCTCAGAGGCTTCCACATGGTTCATCCTGACCTTATCAAGGTTTGACACAGTTGGGGTGGTGTGGGGCAAAGAACGCCCAGGGTGTCCTCCCTATAAGTAACTCAGTCTCAACAGCACACAATGCAGGGCTTGGAACATTCATCCTGAACACGGATCAGGACACAGAAAAGAAAAATGGGGATAAGGAAGAATTGTAACACCATTGACCCAGCAAGGCATTAAACACCATTCTGTAAACAACACTTCTGTGGAATTCCTGCCTCTGTGCTGGGCTCAGTGGCATCTACACTATGCACACCCTCCTAAAACCACTTTGGTTTTTTGTTTGTTGGTTGGTACTGGGGATTGTATCCTGGGGTGCTTAACCACTGAGTCACATCCAAGCTCTTTTACTTTTTTGTTTTGAGACAGGGTCTTGCTAAGTTGCTGAGACTGACTGTGAACTTTGGATCCTCCTGCCTCAGCCTCCAGAGCCACTGGGATTATAGGCATGCGCCACTGTGCCAGACTAGAACCACTTCTTAAACTTTAATGTGTAGTAGTGTAAAGTTGTCAGATTTAGCAAACAAAAACAGAATTCAGCTGGGCATGGTAGCACACACCTGTAATCCCAGTGACTTGGGAGGCTGAGGCAGGAGAATTTGCAAATTCAAACCAGCCTCAGCATCTTGGCAAGGCACTTAGCAACTAAGCAAGACTCTGTCTCTAAATAAAATACACACACACAAAAAAAAATGGCTGGGGATGTGGCCCCCATAACAAAAAAAAAGTGGCTGGGGATGTGGCCCCCATAACAAAACAAAACAAAACACAGAATTGCCAGAGAAATTTGAATTCCATATTATTTAAATACCCAGAAATTGGAATATAAGTATATTCTAATCATGATACAGAAGATACATATACTAAAAGAAGATACATATACAGATATGTTGCATATCTGTAATTTAAATTTGGCCAGGTATGCTGTATTTTCTCTGGGAACCCTAACGTGAGGGTATGCAAGAGAAAGATTTCTAGGCCCTACCACCCAACATTCCAGTTTAGCAGATGGTAGCATGATGAAGAGATGGGGACACAGGTGCCCTCTTAATCACAAGATGCTCTGATGGTTGTGATGTATGTGATCTTTGACCCCATTTTGAGAATGACTTTCCTATAGATGACTGAGAGAGCAACAATGTACTGTGTAGTTACTCATACTAGAAGATGTTCAAAGAGGAGAGAGACACTGGAAAAGATCACTTCTTGGTGATTTTGCCATAAGTTGCTTTGGAAACTCACTACAAATAGAAATCACTGCTGAAAACTGAAGGAGGAAAGAAACCTAGAAAATCAGGGTGGGAATCTGTTACTATACCCTAAGCAAAAAGAATGTCCAGTTCTGTGCAAGTTACACTTCAGTTCAATTTGAAACTTAGATGTATTTTTATATTTTCTAAAAGAAGTTATTACAAAGTACAATGATAATACTCATCTTAAATAAAGATTTATAGAGAAGCCATTTTAGTCCAGTTGCCAGATTCAAGTGTCTCATTGATTTTCACAATTCTGTGAGGTATATATTATGATTACAAGTGTAACAGAAAAGAAACCCACACTCAGGAATGCTGGGTAACTTCCCCAAAGTCAGAGAGTAAATAATTGCCAAAACCAACTCCAAGTCAAAATGGGAAATGATAGAAACAGTGGCCTAGAGTAGATCTGGAAACAACACTTCTGTGCATTTCAGAAGAGCCTATCCTCTCTTTCTTATCCCCAACATCAGGGAAACAGAATACCAAATAGTAGGGTAAAATATACACAGCAGAGCAGAAAGCAGAGTCTGGTGACCAGGCTGGGAGGAAGGGGCATTTGCTGTGGCCTTCCAATTATGAGCACAGCATATGAAACATGTTCTCTGCAAAAATTGGTGTTTTGTGGGCATTAACAGAACACAAATGAACTGTACAAGTAAGTCAATTCTTTAGGTGTGTATCTAATCTCACCATAAAGACAGTAGTCTAGCCCTTCAGACACAAGGTTACCTGGTAAACAGGACTAGGGTAAGTGATATTGCTACATAAATACATATTTCTCCAAAATTAAAGAATGCTTTTCAGGTCAAATTTAGCTAAGGAGTTTCTCTTTCCACACCCAAAATCCAGACAATATAGAATCCCTTCCACCGTCATCACATAGAAAAGAAACATGCTTAGCTCAGAGTGCAGAGAGAGACTTGAGGGAAAGGATGTGTGACATTTCCCAAAGGTAGGTTGGGAATAGATGTGACATTTAGATGCACATTATTCTGGGATTCCAGAACTCTCCTTCTCCATAACATCCTCATTCCCTTTAAGTAATATTTTATTGACTTTAACACATAAACGAAATAACAACTTTAGGTCTTACTAAAGGTGTCTCTTTGACCCTGAGTGACCCACTGGTAATCACGATGTAGCAGCACCCTTGACAGAAGGGGAGCTTGAAGACCCTGCTCCTCTCTGGATGTGTCAAATATTCCACAAGGAACACACACACATACACACATGTACTCATAGCCAAGCACAGCCCCTGTGGAGAAAAAATCTGAAATAGGATTTTTTACATTTATTTTTTCCATTTGGGTCAGGATTCTGGGGATTGAATCCCAAGCCTCCAATATGCAGGGCAAGCAATCTGTCTCTGAGCTGCATCACCAGCCATTTTTATTTTTTATTTTGAGACAGTGTCTCCCTCAGGTTAACAAGCAGGCCTCAAATCTGTGATCTTCCTTACTCAGCGTCTTCAGCAGCTGGGATTACATGTATGCAACATCCAACAATGCACTATTTTTAAATAACATGCACTATTTCTAAACCAGTACTCTTCAGTTCCCTGACTCCTATCAGGAGGGACTAACATCCCAATCCCAGGAGGGCTTCAGGCTCTGGTGGAATATGAGGCAGAACCAGAGCTCACCCTGAGGCTGGAAGTCAGATGAGCAGGCGGCCAGGTGAGGGGAACCAGCTCACATCAATGCAGCCATCATGCTGTTACTGAACTTTTGCTTGTTGTTCACTGTGGGCCCCGGAAGTTCTCCTATCCTGGGTATTAGTAGGAAGACAGCCATTCTTTATGGTTTTTACTCAGTTGCAGAATAGTTTTTTTTTTTTTTTTTTTCCCCTCTGTGGACTAATTGACCCATTCTCCACTGCACTTCATTATTTTGATTCTGAGCACTTCTCCATCTTCCAGAGGTCATTTACAGTGCTTGTCACAGGTCTCACCACGTGGTACTCAGCAAAAGTGGATTTTGGATATCAACGATATTCAGTTGAATTACTATTCAAGATGCTAACATGACTTCAGGGATCCAGGGTCCTCTCTAAGCCTTCATTGATCTTAGTTTATTGCAGAACTTGTCAACCAAAGATAATTTCATTCCTCAGAGAGCATTTGGAACTCTCTGGAGACATTTTTGATTGTTACAACTCAGAAGGTGGAGGAAAGTGCTATCTGCAGTAAGTAGAAATCAAAGATAGTGCAGCACAGAGGACAGCATGCATCACAAAGGATCACCTGGACCAAATATCAGCACTGCCAGAGCCGAGAAACTGTAGTCTTCAATCTACACTGGATCCATGAAAATAATCCATACCTACTTTCCAGTAGCCCATCTCTAAATTTTGATGGAATTCCATATTTCCAACTTAAGCATGAAGATATTATCAGTTATAAAATCAATGCTTTAAAAATAGTCCTAATGAAGTGGGTATTTATATGTTTTTAAGCAATCAAATCTGGCCTTATGCATGTCAAAAGTACATTTAGTAATATTAAATCAGCTATCTCAATTCTTCCCTATGCACAAAACAGAGTATGCACTAATGAGTTTCAAGCCCATGAAGAATCTTTGTCTCTGAATGGGCAAATATAAATGCCCAGTATATTTCTTTGATCCTCATCAATACACAAGAAATGCCATAGCTCTTGTTCCCAATCATGATTAACTACTAAAATCTTTCCCTTCAGAATAATTGTGAAGCCCCACCTTCAAGAAAACCTGTGCATAGTGTCCAGATCCCTATCACACAAGTGATCACACCAAGACCCACACCTGTGATCCTCAGGCCAGAGAGAGAGAGAGAGAGAGAGGTTTCTTAAACCCACCTTTTCTGAAAGTATATAATGAGAACTGTACCCTGAAGGCTAAAGTTGATGATCTCACTTGGATACACACTTCTACTTCATTACCAATGAAATGACAGTTCATTACCAAGACTTTATGAAAAGGGGAAAGTTTTCAACATTTCAAAAATATAGTCCATGGCTTATAACTCTTTTCATCACCAATGCCAGCACCAGTGCTCAGAAAGCATGCATTTTTAGCTAATGGCTGGATTTGTTGACTCATCTGCCCTAATGCCATTAGCGTTTATGGAATATTTGCATGATCACATATAAACACTTTCCAGGTGCCTTGTCAGGTGGGCAGGAGATTGCAACCGTGGTCCTCTATCAGTCGATAAGTCTCACTTTTCTCATAAAAGAAGCACATCGACAGTCAGATCACATTTCTTCCCAGCCCTTTTACTCTCAATTCCAATTGGGTATGCTACAAACGATTCATGAGGAAACCACATATTTATGCAGGCAGCCAACGGCTTGCGGGGAAGGGTTTAAGGCAAGCAGGGAATTTTGTGTGGAAATCAATTCTTTGCGGAAGTCAATGTATTATGGACATTCAAGCAAGAGAAATTCCAGAGAGAAATTAACTGCCCAAGTAAGCCAGCTCCTTGAGGTGTGCATCTATAGTCACAAGAAAAAAGTGAGTTAACCCTTCAGGCAGCTCTTAAATATGCATTACCTATTGAGTGGAGAGAGCCAGAGAACTGAAGTTGGGCCTTTAAACACAGAATTCCTTACAAAATTGATTCACAAACCAGAACAAATTCCCCTCAAATTAAATGGTGTCTCCAAAGGGCTCTTCTTCAGGATTTTCCCACAGACTCTCCTAAACAGGAGTCTGCTCAGAGAGAATTTCCAACATCTACATAAACATGGGAGACTCTGATGCTCTGGACATGAGCTGTCCCTTGTATCTGAAAGCAAAGACTGTCCAGCCTGAGAAGATGGGGACAGTTTCACATAGGTTACACCTTCCAGCAAGATGGAGCCTCTGGACAGATACAAGCAATGCTTGTGAAAGGAGCCACAGACACCAATGCTGAGGGAAGACAGACTGGGCATGAAGTTTGCCAAGAAACCACGGCAATGTGTGGAAGAACTGCCACCTTTTTCTAGAAAGCACCTCAAAGGCCTATAAAGGAGTGTACAAAGGAATCCCATAAGGCCCTGGGAGACTCCAACAGGATATAGCACGTGAGTCCTCACGGGTAAAAAGGTGTAGGACTCAGAGTTTGCTTTTCAGAGAAACTGAAGCTGGAGAAGCTGCAGCCTGCACAGGGACACAGCAGACCATCTGTGGATGTGTAAACTAAATGGAGATACTGCACTTGAAATTCCTTTCTACCATGCAGAGTAGAAGGTGAGGGAACTGTAAAGGTGGCTGACTGGAAGCCAGGGTGAATTCCTTACACTGTGACTGAGAGAAAGGTCCAAGGCTCTGGGTCAGGACAACTGAGGAATAATATAAATCCACAAACTATTGCATAGACTTAAGATCTCTTCTCCTGCCTGTCAGGTCAGAGATTTCAAGGGAAGACTCATGCACATGGAGAGAGAAAGTTTAGGCTCCTGGGAATGCTGCCAAGACACAAAGCCTAGGCCACCTTCTTGATGTCTAAATAAAGGCTTTTGTTTAGTTCACAGTATCATACCAGTGTAATGTGCTGGTTTTGATACTGTTCCATGACCAGGTGGTAGTTACACTATCACTGGTGGAAACTAGGTGATGGGCATATAGAAACTCTCTTATATTTTTGCAATTTTTCTAAGTTTGAAGTTATTTCAAAAATTTAAAGTTTAAAATAACAAAGACAGTCTGAATTAAACATACTAATCCACTGATACACAGGCTTATATACATTCTCTCAAGGGGCAATTTGGTCCTGAACCAGTCACATAGCTAAACGAAAACCACTACCCATGAAACAGCTCCTCTTTCTGTTCCACACACTACAGATATATACACACAAACACACATATACATATTACTATCGTTGTTGTCTCATACCCCTTTGCAATAAAACTACATTTCTAGAATATATTCTTCAGAGTACTTTGTGTATCATCCAGAAAAGAAAACCTCAACAAACACTAACTTATCACTTGCTCAATAACTGAAATGACCTTCAATGACCCTCAAGGTCCAATGAAGTTTATAATTCTCATGCTTTTATATTTATGCCCTGTTGGGAGTCACCCAGGCTCCAAAGACTAACTTCCCCATCCCCCAAGAAGAGCCTTCCAATGGTGAGCCCTGCTGGCTCACATGATCCTTACCCACCAATCAGAGCCCTGCTGGCTCACATGATCCTTACCCACCAATCAGAGCCATGCTGGCTCACATGATCCTTACCCACCAATCATAACCCTGCTGGCTCACATGATCCTTACCCACCAATCAGAGCCCTGCTGGCTCACCTGATCCTAACCACCAATCAGACTAGTCCTGCTGGCTCACCTGATCCTTACCCTCTAATCAAAAAGCACCCCATGACAACTGTCAAACCACCCCTGGCTCTATAAATATGCAGAGCTGTTCCTCAATAAACGGGCATTTGCTCTGACGACAAGCCTTGTTCGTTCTTTCAGCTCAGTTAACACCCTTGTCTTCAGTGATGGCACAGTCCAGACAATAGAACACAGAAAATACAGCATATTAGAAAGCCAGCAACCTGGATGAAAAATTGGGCTGGACTTGGAAAGATTTAATACTGACAGATGAGTCCAACAGGATCTAAATGCTGTCACTGGTTAAACTTCTATTTCTCAATCATCAAAATGATTTTTAAATTTTAGATTTGATTCCTTACTTTCCTCAGCTGAGTAACCTTCAGCTAAATAACCCCTGATAAAAGTTGTGCTTACCCATTCAGTCCTCCTTAGTCGTCTGCATGAGAAACAAATAGCTTATTGTGAACTCAATTCTTTTAAATTTTTTAATTGGCACATTATAATTATATATAATAGTGAGATTCATTGTGCTATATTCACACATGTACATAACATAATTTGACCTATCTCACTCCCTCCGTTCCCTCCCCTCCAGTTTTTCCACAGGGGATCATTCTATAGGTCAGTCTACAAAGGCTTAGGAGACCCACCAGCTCTTCAGATGGTTCTCTGGCTCACAGCAACTATAGGCAGGTTGATACTTCTTCCTATCAGTAGTGGCCAAGAGACCTGCCTGGGAGAAAGTATACTTCCTACACAGTGAGGCAAGGACATCTCAGCCTCACTCTGAAAGATGAGCTGGGCGATCTCAAGGGTTTCCTTCCTCTAGGCATTTCAATGTAGTCAAGAAAGTACATGAATACATAGTTCTTTAGACCCCAAGCTTGCTGTGCAACAAGCCTTGTAGTGATCAACAAGTTAAATGCAATTTGTCTAGAATTTGGTTTCTTACAATGCATGCAGTTCTGCCTCCTTTCCTCGCTGGCATATTAGCCACCCCTATTAGGCGCCTAAAATGGTGTGTAAATGATGTGCTTGGAATAAGCACAATTAAGAGTCTAAGGAGGACTGAACTGGTAACCACAACTTTTATAAGAGTTATTCAGCTGAAAAAAAACAGATGCTTGGTGAGAAACATGCTCATCCTCGGAGTTCCTCAGAAGCTTGGCAGAATTGTCATGGCACAGAAGATGCTCAGAGCAGTGTCCTGGAATACCATGGCCCTGCCCCCTTGCATAGACAGTGGAGGGGACAAAGTCACTGGGAAGGAAGAAATTAAGTGATCTTCCACTATTCTGAGGCAATCCCTCACTCACAGTTCTATGATTAAACTGTACACAGAAAGACTAATGTTATAAAGTTGTTAAAAAGTTGCCAAGAGAAATTAATGTTAATTTGCACCAAGTAAGTGGGGTTAAAAAAAAAAAAAAACAAGATGTATACCTCATCCTCCTGAAATCTGACATGATCTCATACACCTCCTTATTTAATTTTGAACACGCTTAAAAGGCAACAATATGGTCACATTTAACATAGCAAAATAGTAAACATGTTGGTATTCGAAGCAATTGGTATTGGAATCAAGAGAGATCAAAATCAGCATTCACAGTGGATAATTCAGAGAGATCATATGCTTTGCATTAATCTGAATGACTATAAAATAATCAATATCTCCATTGTTATGTTCTATATAAATATTGCTCCAAAGAGTTCTTTATGTTCTATATAAATATTGCTCCAAAGAGTTCTTTATAGGAGTCCTGAGGAAATGATTAAATTTATTCTGAAGTGCTTGTCTAACAAATAAAAGCATAAATTAATTTCTTGATATTAATGTAGAGCAAGCAAATGTTTCAAATCATATGTTGCTACTCTAGTGAGCTTTTGGAGTAAATTGTGTGCCCTTATCTCTAACCCTTCTGGGGGAGATGAAGCTCTTACCTCTATAACATTGGTGGGACTACGGATATAGATGCCAGATGGTGTCAACATTTCAGGACTGGAGAGGCCTTCAGCACCAGAAACACTGATGATCACATTGTTTCTTATCATATTTCCCTGTTCTGACCAGTCTAATTTCAAAAAAGATAAATCAAACCCAGGGAATTCACAAACACAATCAAAATTTGCACAGCTCAACACTGGATTTTACTAATAATATTAGAGTCCACAAAATGTACTCTATATGTAGATATATGTCTATTTGTAGATACAAATATAGATACATCTTTAGAAAACATTTAGTATGCTGAATAAATTGGAGACATCTAACATTTTGCCATCAGGTCTGTGTATAAAATACATAACAATTGAAAATGGATTGTAATAGATTTATAACAGACTTAAAAAATCAACTTATATATTTTACCATTTTTTCTTCCAGGAATCGTTTCCCAGGAGATATAGCTCATCCCCATGTACGTCCCTAAGAACAAAAAACCATATCAATTCAGCATATTTGATGCCACTCAGGAAAACATGGGACACTGCAACCTATTTTCACTTGGGGTATTGGTTGTTCTAATTTTATTTTTATGTTTTTATCTATGAACCATATAAAGAAATATAAATAGTATGAACATGTTAGTTCTAGAGTATTATGGATCAGAAGTTTACTTTAAGTAAAAAGAAAAGCAGAGTAATTTGTCTTCTATTTCACTACTTTGGAGACTGTCTCTATTGTCAAATGCAGACACAAGCTGTGTCAGTATAGTCTCAGCCCTAGATGTTCAAATTGACCACCAACAATCCACAGGTCCCCTACTCCCCTGAAGGATCTGGAATGTCCTGGAGGAGTGAACAGGATGGTACCAGGGACCCTCAAACCCAATGAGATAGAGAGGAAGAGAACAGAGGAATATGCCTGGGTCATGACACGTAGAGAAAGATTCATCACTTAAGCCATATCAACAGGGAACAGCTCAACAGAACCCTGTCCACGTCATTTCACAGGTCTGTGTTTGCAAACTTGCAACAAGATAGACTACTTTATATAGAATGTGTTAACAAATACTTTAATTTCCTCATTATAATACACTAGATGTCAAGAGCCTATAATTCATAATATCCAAGGAGAATTCCTCCTGTGGGCTTGCTTTATTGCCTGATTAATGTCCATTACATATCATTGGGATCTCTTCCTGAATTTCTGCTGAAGGTGTCACCCTTCCTTTTACACAGACAAAAATAAAAATAAAGAAATCCAATGTTGGTTAGTTTCACTTCTCTTGGACTCCCTTTTTATAACCAAAAGATTTTTCTGCACCTGAGCATCTCCAATATTCTTAGCTCTGTGCCTTTTAGAGCTGGAGTTTGTTTTAAAGCAAGTGTATAAGATCCATATTTCCTCACTAAACAGTTTCTCTCTCAGGATTAGAACCTTTGCAGCTTTCATCTCAACAGCTGTTCTTAAATGAAACATATATTTTCCCACTGATCATATCACAGAGTTAAATACAAAACACTATTTAACAAATACAGTTTAATCTAACTTTCAGTGAAAATCTCTGATTTGCTTTTTTATTCTGATACAACTAGACTCTTTTGCTCATTAATTCATACATTTCTTTCAACCGATGGACCCACAATGCACTAGTGGTTATGCTAAGTACTAAGACGACGATGTCCTCATGGAATCTGGTAGTAAAATGACATTAATCAGATAGTCACAAATGTGACATATAATTTTAAATTGATGACTGTTGATTGGTGTTTAAAGAGCTTAACAGAAGCACTGAACTTAGGGGTTTGGGGGTGGGGGGAGGATCTTGTACCAGATAAAAGCGTGGCATGAGCAAAGGGAATAGCTTGTCCAAAGGCCCTGAGGCAGAAGGAAGTGTGATCTTTTGAAAGAATAAAATAAAATAGATCAGCCTCATTAGGGTGCAGAAGGAGAAAAAAATAGCAAGACAAGTTTACAGAGATTATCAGGGCAATGATCACTAAAAAGGCCTTTTAGACCAGATTATAACTTTCCTGTTATATTCTAACAACAATAAGAAACTCTTAAAGGGTTTTAAAAAGAGGGATGATATAATGCAATGTGAGATTTTTAGAGTTGTAGGTACATTATAATTTATATCTAATAGAGGGATTTATTGTTATATATTTGTATATGCACACAATATACCACTATAATTTGGCTAGTTTTGTTCCCCAGTACCTCTCTTTTCCCTACCCTCCTTACTCCAAATTGAGATTTCTAAGGATAATAATTCTAGGTTTTGCAATGAACTTTAGGAGACAATATTGGAAATCGGGTGACTGTGAACTTCTCCAGCAAGTCATAGGAACATTTAAGAAGAGAATTTAAGATTTTTAAATCCTTGTCCAATATCCAAGTTTGACAATCTGTGAAATTGTACATGGATATATTCATCTGACTTAGAATTTTAAAATTTCTGGCAGTAAAATTTTAATACCTCCCATTATATAGTTGATAATTTCATCTGAACCTTTAAAAGATCAGTTTCCCATTGATAAAAATTTAGGAAGCCAATCAATAATAATTAAACTTAATAAGAAAGCTAAATTTTTTTTTATAAATTGGGAATTCAATGTTTTAGGAGAATTCCTGGTGGAAAACTGTGCATCCTACTCAAGAATTCTGAAATTAAACAAGCTTGTTTTACTCACCCACCAGCAGAGCATGACCTGAAATCTTGTAGAACACATTACTGTCCACCTTCAGGCCCAAGGTCCTGTATATGCTGAGGCCTCTGCTAAAGGAGCTCCTTATAGTACAGCCCTGGACATAGGAATCTGAGCAGGAAAAAGTAAGTGTCATTCACAGTGGGATCTCAAAGACTCCTTAGATTCTGTTGGCCATGTTCACAGCAAGCTACACCATGGCTAAAAATATTTTCCCACACAATAAGGGAACTCAGTAGAGGAGACTGAAGCAACAATCAAATCAAGAAAATGGGCAACTCAGGGTAATGGCCCTCAAAGATAGAGGTTGAAATCTAAGGATCAAGTATTAAGAAAGAATCACCCGAGAAAAGAAAGGATCTTCAAACCACAATAGAATACATGATGTTAAGAACTCTATCTGGCCTCCTGATAGGCATAAACTCTTCCCACAGCATGGGAAGATGAGAAGTTAAGGACTGTGGAGAGTACTGCTTATGGATCACCTCTGATCCTTGAAAACTGCATCTTGCCTAAGGAAATGTGGTCATTATTCCTTGAGCTGTAAATTAGTATATACAAATTGCCAAGCAATAGTATTCTTGGCCAAAGATAGTCCGAGATTCCTATTCCACAATGTTAGCAAGGCCAAACACTGACCCTGAGGATCATGACTCTCACATTTGAATACGGTAGGTTTATGAAGCTAACAGGGAAGTATCCTCTATTATGCTATAAGGAATTGACATTTTGGAAAATTGTTAGTCTGGCTCTGTATCTGCGTTCTGTATATATGACCCCCCCAAATCAAATTATATGGCCTGGATCAGTCAATGAATAAATATTTACTGACTATCAGGCACAGTCATGCACCACCTAATAACTAATGACGTTTCTGTCAATGATGGACTGCATATCAGATGGTGGTTCCATAAAATTATAATGGAGTGGAAAACTCCTATCTGCCGGTGATGTGATAGCTATCATACTATTGGAGCACAAGACATTATTCACATGCTTGTGGTGATCCTGGTGTGAAGCAACCTTCTGCAGTGCCATGTATATAAAAGCACAGCACAAATAGTTATGTAGAGTATATAATACTTGGTAATGATAATATATGATTTTGTTACTGGTATTTGTATAAAACAAAATTTTTAGTATAATCTTTCTATTTGTAAAATAAAAAAGTTTGCTGTAAAACAATATATCAGTAGCAACCTCATATATTTCATATTTAACCTCCTCTCTTGATTGCCTCAAGAAATCACATAGAATGATGTACCTAGACCACCTATGTTGTATAAGTACACTCTGATGTCCATACAAGGAAAATTACCTAACTATGCATTTTTCAAAACATTCCCAAATTATTAATTGATGCACAATAGTATATATTTAGGAATTGTTAATTATGCTAGAGATGTAAAGATGAAGAAAACTAAGATGAATTTGTGTATCTTCAGTGTGATGAAATAAATTGACATTAAAACACTAAAATAGTTATTATGCAAATAGTTAAATTGTAAATCCTGAAAAAGGAGTTTGGTATTATTACCAGGTACTAAAATATGGAGATGACAAATATTTGGGATACTGGAAAGGTTAGTTTTGTTTATGGAATATTACTTTTAAAATTGAACTACCCAGAAAATTCTCAACTGTGATACCTCATAGATACTACCTCCCCGTGTCTCTCAATCTCAGCTTCCCTTAAACCAGGGAACCTCATATTACTTATCAGGGATGCACTACGTAAATTACCTCACTCATATCTACTTCTTTCAGAAACAATGGCTGTTACAGATTTTTCCAAACTGACTTTCCACCATGTCACCCCAGGAGAACATGCCTGTCCATCTAAATAATCAGTAACAACTAATGTATCTGAATAGCTCTTGTGAGTGGAACTTACGGGACTAGTAAACTGCTGAAAGCACTATGCAAAGATTTCACCATTGTAGTGGCACACACCTGTAATCCAACGGACATTGGGGTCTGAGACAGGAGGATCACAAGTTCAAGGTCAGCCTTAGCAGCTTAGGCTCTGTCTCACAATAAAAATTAGAAAAAGTGGCTGAGATTGTGGCCCAGTGGTAAAGCACCCCTGGGTTAGATCCCCAGTACCAAAAAAAAAAAAAAAATTCTAACAACTTTTAATGATACTGTCAGTGTCAATTTACCTCACAGGGCACGAGAGCCTTCATGAAGGCCTAATAAAAGGTTCTTTGGTAAGTATGCCAGACAGAAATATCTAACCTCTGGGCTACTGTGTTACCTGCCCTGTTATGCAAAGAAACATATCTGCATTTTAATAGAAACTAATAAAGGATAATATTTTTTGGTAGGGGGCAGAGGGCTCGGTGTACAGAGGATTGAACTTAGGGGCACCCAACCACTGAGACACATCCTACAACTTTCTGATCCTGGTTTCAGAACTTTTATACTTTAATCTGATTACATTATTTTTTTCTGATTTTGATCTCATTTTGCATCTGGAGGTTCTCACCTGGATTTTATCCTTCCTGTTTCCTACCTAAGATCTGCACCCCTGCCTATTCCATGTTCCCAAGAAAAGCACCTGGTCTCAGTCATCTTTTCCCATTTTTCCAGATAGAAGATCCTTCTGAGTTAGGACAAATTTTCATAGTAATGCCTTCCACTATTCCTGGACTCCCAGTGTGTTTATTATTTCTACTATTCAATAGTGATCTGCCTATAGTCACAAAGCTAGTGAGTGGCAGTAGCAGGAATCAAAGCACAGGATTCTGTGGTTCACTCCACAAGTACCATACTTTCTTGTGATGTTTCTCAAAGTTTACTCCTTGGATTACTTTTTCCAGAATAATAAGGTTCTATATTTAGAATTTAGATCCATAGGCCCACCTTAGACAAGACTTGTTAGGGAAAGGTCCAGAACTCTGAATTTCAATAAGCTTCACAAGTTGCTTGTTTAGGCACACTAAAGTTTGAAAAACAGTGATCAACAATATAAGCAATTATCTATCTCTGAATCCCTCAATTCCCACATATTACTTATTATGACCCCTGCATGAACATGAGAGAAGAAAGAAAAGTGCCTTCAAACACGAGTGAAGAAGGGAAAAGAGAAGGTGTAGGTCTGGCTTACCTCTCATAGTGCCCACCAGAGTGAGCGATCTCATGTACTTATGGAAGGCTTGTCCCAAGTCTCGGAACTCCACCCCCTCCAACTGGACCTGGCTGGGTTCCTCTGGGGAGGACCAAACAATGACTCTGGCCCCCAGATCCCTGGATCCCAGTATCTTCTCACTCTTGGAATACAAACAGTGCTGCAGGTTGCCTGAAACACAGGATAAGGTCCAGAGGACCTGAAGCAACTAGAACATACCTCCAGACAACTCCCCCCATTGGAAAGGTACTGTTGGCACCAAGGACAAACTATTACTGTTTATTTCATTTAATAGCTTTCATGTTTACTTTGATTCCTTTCTCTGGATTATTCATTAAAAGATTCAATAACTAGGGCATGATGTTGTCTTTACTGCTTCCAGAAACCCCCCAAATATTCAGCTAAATATTGTCACAAAGTAGCAGACTGCAACCCACAACCAACCTAAACAGAAGCTGATTTCAATCCCCAAATTCCACTGAAGGGAATGCACAGTAAGATGACCTTCAAATGGTTCACAATTTTACGGAAGAGATGTGGATACTGAATGTTGTCACAGAACTTTTTACACAGTCCAGTGGGTTTTTCCCCTTTCCTGCACTATTTTACAATTTAGGGACTTAGCAATAAGGCCACCACAGAATGGCAAAGCAAGGGCTGCCTCTGCACATCTCCTCCTTCCCCAGCTGTGCCACTAGTTGAGGACAGCAAACTACCTGAACCCAAAAGACACAACTCCCATGGCTACAGTGTTGGGACCTCAGGATCCAGAATGCTTTCTGCTGACACATGATTTATGGGTGTATGAACTAACCACAGGATGGAGAAGACATCATATCCTGAATTGATTCTTTATTATTCATGTTAATAAAACAAGAATTAGCAATGATACAAAACAATGTGTCATTCCATAGTAAATTTCAGAGTCGGCTTATTTGCTAAGGCCCAGAGGATGAGGACATAAGAGGCAGATAATGAGATGTTTTGTATTTGCATGCTTTATCATAACTCTTGGTGCTTCTGATAATGTTTTCAAATGGTCAGGTCTCCTATGATTGGCTTTAGCTACTGGTGCCTAATATTTCAGCCCCACCCAAAGGCTGAGTGACTTATTCTGAGGATATTGTAGTTACATTTAAGATTTATGATGAAATGAGGAATGCTTTCCATTAAGAGTTAATGGATCTATAATGACTCAGACCTGGAAGCAATGTCACATTGGCAGCATGACCGAATACAATATTTTGCAAAATGTAATCTGAAAAAACCTATATGAGAATTATCAAGAGAGTCTGAATAATACACAGATGGCAATTTTGCAGAATACTTAAAGTTGACAATCAACTGATTCTAACCGACTGTTTCCCAAACATTGTTTTAGAGAATGACATATTCATCAGTGGATGACTTGGGTGGAGGGGGATGAGGTCAGTATCCTTCTCCATATACTGACAACACGCTACCCAGTCATATCATATCTACATGCACCCATTCGCAGATACCACTCAGATCTTTGGCTCTCGTCTTGGCATTTCTTCCAGCTTCCAGATATTACCAAACATCTCTGCACCATTGCTGGCCAGCCATCTCAATTTTGACATGTACAAAATTAAACTCATGATCATCACCCTCCCACCCCAAAACCTGCTCCTCTTCCCATCTCAGTAAATAGCCTCATCATCCATCCACCGCTTATGCCTGGAAGTCATCCTTGACACCCACACCATCCTGGACCAAAGTTGACAAATGATGTCTTCACAACATATGAAAGCCTCATAATCTACAGCCTGGGAAACCAAAACATAACCTACTAAACTAACCATCCCTGAAATAGATGTTTAATAGGCACATCAGTGTGATTCAGTGCCTGCTATTCTACTAGAAGATAAATGGACTTTTCCTACCACTTACCTAAAGTATGTGGTAGTTCACTCAGGAAAGAAATCTCAACAGGAGCGGGAGCACAAGCCTAATCAATAGGAATGTGTTGCTTGAGCCTGGGATTCTGGCATTAGGGTTTCCTTGAGAATCTTAGAAGAAGCTTGGAATCAGTGCTAAGACTTTGACATCTAACCCAGAAATGTAATTCAACTCTCAGGTTTTATTCTTCAACAGGATTTTTTTTTACACCAGAGAAACAATTAATTTACTATTTCTTTTGTCATTTGTCTCTTTCTTTCTTAAGGTCCTTGGGAAGTATGGGGGTGTGGAATGAGAATTTCTCAAGAGCCTTCTGAAAATTACAGAATTTTATGGACATGCAAAGGTTAAGAGCTTATTCTGTTTTGAAAGTGGTCAATCATAGCACTGACACATATCATTTGATGGTGAAAATTTGTTTTTACTTATTGATCTTTCCATTACTTATTGAACTTTGAAATAATTCTCTACCTTCTGCCATGTTGGCCTCTTGACAGGAAGCCAGGAATGTCTTCCTCTCACTAGTGAGATTTCCTTGTATGGTAATACGCCTGCTGAGCAGAGCCACTGTGACCTTTAAAATGCGGTGTTCTCCAGCCACCCAAATCTCTGTGAAGTTGTGAGAATATCTGAAAAGAGAAAAAGAGGAAGATACATCTGAAGATGTCACCCCTAATCTTATTCAGAATGGTGATAGTAAGCCACCAGATGAGTGAGATTCTTCCTTTGAGGATCTATTTTACAGAAACTCAAATTTAAAGGAGTGAACTGCTACAGAAATACATAAGAATTAGAAACTGTGCTGATTATGCACTATCCAACACCAAAGTTTGAGAGTCTTAACAAGAGAATCTTATTTAAGAAGTCTTAGTCTTCAAAACATCTCAAGCTTTGTAATGTTCTTGTCAGAATGTTAGCATTATTTAATTTTAAAATACAGCACTGAAAGATCAGTGTCCAGACCCCAACACAGTTAAAACCTCCTCCTCTTCACGTGAACCCAGCCAAGCTGTCACTCAGTACCTCAAGGGCGACCTCAGGTGGAGGTCAGCATTGTGCACGGCCTCCACAATGACAGTCTCTTCCGCTGGTCTGGCACCTTCGACACCTGTCCCACTGACAATGACCACTTCATCCCCAGTATGCCAGTCCACAGCGTCTTCCAGAGACAACACTCTGTCTTGGGCATGGGCAGCTGCTCGAAGATGGGTGACAACTACTTCTGGCAGTGAACCTAAAGCAGCCCAGAGAAACAAAGTTCAGATATTTAATAGAGAATGTGATGTTATTTGGACAAAGAATTCTGTGAAAAAGAGTCTGGAACAAGCTTCAAAATCAAAAAGCACCAATTTTTGGATACTAGTTTTGGTTTTGGTTTGGAGTAAGCTGGGAGGGAGTATTATTTTCTCATCTCTGAAAGCAATCCAGGATAGAGTAGTAAGGTATGAAGAACACAGCAAACGTCATCAGACTGAACCTGGATTGGTGTCACAGTGTTGCCATAACATAACCAGGTTCCTTTCAGTGAACAGGCTTTAGTTAAAACAGGAATAGCATGGTCTTCCATCACGAGGTTTTAGGAGAAATTAAAATGAGACAATATGTATGAAACATCTAGTTTGGATCTTGCTACATTATAGACTCTCAATAAATGTTATTCTTTTTTCTTTCTTTCCTGCATCACATTAGTGTTTTGAGAATGAGATTTTTTACTACTTCTTTCTTATTCCAAAAAGAAGAAATGATCCTTAGGCTCTGATATAGGAGGCAATAACTAATTTCCCATATGAAGACTTCAACTCATTTTACAAATAAGGTAAGCAGAGTGCAAAATCAAAATTACTTAGGGATGGTTGTCTTGGTGCATTAAATGATCCCTTAAAACACTAAACCTGAGTATATCCAGGACAGGCTTGCTAAGAACATTTGAAGAAGGGAAACCTCATGAGTCTGGGTTTCTTAGTTTGCACTACACTCTGGCATCTCCATCTGACTCTCCTCATACCAAGCATGTTAGTCCTTAACTAGCAAAGATTTAAGAAGATCATCTATCTCTCAGTTTACTCTGGACTTCCAGCAAAGGTTATGGCAAATTTTTTAAGGCATTATCTAAAGCAATATTTTAAAAAGCACATGGGTTACTCCCAACTCCTTCCTTTTTCCCCAGTACACTTCCTTCCTCCTTTGCAATAGATCATAATTTACCTTTAGCCCACAGCAAGTTACTGTCCTCCCTTGTTGCACTAAAATAAAGTAATAATACTTGAATCTCTAACTACAGAGGTAGCCAACCATAAATCATTTTCAAATTATTTTAAACTTCCCTTTTTTTATTTGTCTGTGTGTGTGCAGACACTTGCACCAATAATTTTGTTCTAGTCTTAGGAAGGTCTCAGGTTAATGATGTAATTTCTAAAGTTTACTCAGGCAATAATTTTATCTTAAAAATATTTACAGAGTTCAAAATTTCTAATTATAGGGCAGGTGAAAATTAAGACATAAATCATCCCCAAAAGAAAATAATTTTAATTTTATTGCTTGTTTGTATATCTTAACCTTTGGGAACAATAAAATGAAATAAAGTTTGTTTTTATGTATATGCATATGTGTGGATTTCTCTGACCTCTTCTTGACTGTCTATGTAGAAAGATTCATGCCAAGCATAGAAAATGTTTATCAAGTACAATGCAAAATGCTCTCAAACTTAATGACACATGTTCACAATGCTCAGTCAATATGCAAGGATCATCGATTATATACATGCAAGTTATGTGTGGCAGAATCGAGAGTAGAGATCACAAAGATACTACTCAACTAATTTTTCTTAACAGTGGTCAAGTCAGAATGAATGGGAAAAGATTATAGAGAATCTTTAAAGGCCATTTTAAACTATTAAAATACACTTATGTCCTTTCAAGTGTCGACAGAATCTTTAGAAAGCAGTAAGACTATCTCATAACTTTTTCATTCGAATTACAGAAATGACATATCTATGCACGATCACATTGAGCCTGAATATTTCAGGAGTACCAGCCTAGAGAGGATGGAACAGTTCTAACCTAGAGCCAGTGCCATAGATTTCAATATGCAATAGCTCTGTAATTATCACAGTGTGCATGATTCATCTCTCCTCCTGAAGAATGGATCATGAATGCATGACCACTGTTTTGTGTTTCCTTTATTTATGTCACAATTCCCAACAAAGCATTAGATTTGTGGTCAGCATTCAACTCAGGGTGGTTTAAACTAATTATTTAAAATTTTTTTCCTATAGACAATCACTTGTAACCCCCTGTCAGATTATACCTAACTGAGCATACAATATCCAATACATAAAACAGAAAAAAAGTTACTGGAATTTTTGAATAAACACAACCTAGTTTTTCTCTGATGTGAGAACTCCTTGGGTTTCATTTTTTTTTTAATTTTACAAATTGCACAAATGAGAAACTAAAATTCTTCAAAAACAAGGTTGTGTAATAATGAAGCCTCAGTACCTAGTTCTGAAAGCAGGACTTCTGAATCCAGGATTAGAAAACTAGATAAGTAATTAAATTCCTAGCCTCTATAAATTAACTATACCCAATTAGCTTTGATTCTCAAAAATCACATGCATTACTTTATAAAGGTTATTTAAGCACCACACAAGGCAGACTGGCGAACCCTCTGCTGAAGAGAACATGGCACACGTGTGAGTCATTCTCTTTGTCAAACTCCTGAAACCCAGCTTGGGCAGCTCCCTTCCTTTCTGTACCATAAATCAAAAAGCATATAAAAGCAGTTTTAAAAGCTCAGTAATTTATAAATATACTTAAATGACAAAAGGAGTATGGTCTTGTAATTTAATCCAGTGTTTAACCACATTTGGCTTTCAACATTGACCTGCTAACCAACAAACTATTCATTTACTCCCACTAATGACTTCTGCTCATAATTATATTTTCTACAAATTATTGTTCAAGCATTTCAGTGTCATTCATCTATAATTAGTCAGTCCCAGAGAACCATTCTTACCAAATGGGCATGGAGAGAAAGAAAATAAACTTTAAGGGTTGACACACTTTAAAATCTCTAATTGTCTTCTGTTTATATTGTAGGAATTAAATCTTTATTTCAAGTGAATAACTGCCAAGATTTTTCCAAACCATTTAGAAGGAATAAAGGGAAGGAAGGAGAGAAAGGAGGAAGGGAGGGAGAGAGAAAGGAACTATTTGATTAAAATAATATTGACATCAGAATAGAAATATAAAGGAACTCACAAAAGAAGCCAAAAATTTTATTCTCAAGTATACACACTGTATTTCACCCTTATCTCTGGACACAGCTTCCCCATTATTATGGCAAAACAAGAAATGCTGTATTTTCCTACATATACAGGTAAACACTTCTCAAGCACCTGGAAGACAAAACAAAGTGAATAGAATCCCCTATATCCAATACTCACTACTAGTACAAGAACTACACAGAGTAAAACCACAAATGATCCGTGCTAAGAGACGAGATTGGGGGAGACCCAGGGTCTAGTGGTGCACAGACAGGGAACACTTCACTCACAGCAAGGGAGTGGTTGTTTCTGGAATGCCTCCCAGAAGAGTAATAGCTGAGCTGGATTTTGAAGGATAAGCCTTTTGCCCAGGTGACAAAATGAGAAGAGACATTGTTCATGTGCCATTTCCCTCTGCCCTTGAGAACCACTTGCTGTGATATCTCCCTTGGATAAAGACAAAATCTGGAAGGGTACCCTGCATGAGCTCGGCTGTGTGTGTGCACCGTGAGCCTTCTGCATCATTACAGGTTCATCTCAGTGGTCCTGAGCAAGCAGGGAACTCCCTCCCTGAAGGAGGATGAATCACCAGCAATCCTCTGAAAAAGGGCAGATCAAGCCAGCTACATCCTCAGCTGAAGTGAGCATTTCTGCATTGTGATGAAAGGGAACTGGGACAAGGTCTGTTCTAAGACTAAGGACTCCACTGTTCTTTTGGCACAAGGGTTTAGACTAAAGCTAACCATTGTTATTTAAAATGGCACAATGAGCAATATTTTCCTAAAGGTATCAGAGAAAAATCTAGCTTTCATTTCTATGCAATTAGAGCTTTATATTTTTGTGGCTTTGACTTGAAACAAGTCTGAGAAGAAGCAGGACATTGTAAGATAAGTGGAAACATCTGGATCCTTGTTTCTAGCTCCTGTGAGGATTTCAGGTCTTCAATAAACACCATGCTTAGGCCATACAGAACTAAGTGAATGTCCTTCAGTTAGTGATGTAAAACCCGCTTGGTCATAGAAGAGCTAAAGTCTTCTATGAAATATCTTTAACATCTACTTATGATTACCCCAAAAATATATTTAAAAATCAGCTATGCTTTTTTTAAAATTTTATTTTATTTTATTTTTTGCCTCTTAAAATTTTTCCATCTCTCAATATTGCCACACTGGGGACCAAGCTTTTATCACATGAACTTTGGGGGAAAAACTTGAACCATTTCTAAACCACAGCAGAGACCTTCCATCTCTTTTCAAAGGCTGTCATAAAAGCAATTGTATTAGACAGGAGGAATAAGTTCTAGCATTCCACAGCACAATAGGGTAACTATATTTTACAACAACCTATTATATATTTATGAGAAACTAGAAGAGAGGAGCTCGAAGGCTCTAAATATAAAGAAATGATAAGGAAATGGAAATGCTAATTACACTGATTTAATAAGTACAAACTGTATGCACATATTAAAACATTACACAGCACCCTGTAAGTATGTAATATGATTGTGTTAATTAAAAAATAAAATTAAAAGAGTTAAAGCAATTTTGGCTTTTAAATAAGCTATGTAAGCCTCACAAATGCAACCATAAAACACAATTTTCAGAGAGTTGAGGGGATACCATAATATAAATCAGCTATACTTTTGATCAGATAGATAATCATTTTGATTATCATTACTAGGTTTTATATCTTCCAGGAGAGGTGATGGTGACAAGAAAAAAAGGTTAATTTTTAATAACTACTTTTAGAAAAATTATGAATGTATTATACTTAAAGTACAAATTTAGAGAAGGAAAAAACAGAAAAGCACTTGCAATCTTAACTCATTAATATAGGTCTTTCCTATTATTCCTTTCCTATGTGTATATACTGAAAAACTTTAATATTTGTAAAAGAAAATGCTATAATTCTATGCATACCTTCTCTTTTCTTTCTTTACTCTTATTAGAAAATAATTTATTACAACACAG